AATTTGTGTGCGGGGGGAATATTATTATATTTGTGCGGGGTGGGGGGGTGTAACGTTGAAGTGTATTATTTTGTTTTAAGCTGGCCATACACCTTCCAACCATCGCACGACGTTTTGTCATTAAAATCTCGTACGATCTGCCCATCTTGGACAGGAAGATCGTACTTGCGATGATTCCAATGCTGAGCGGGCACACCGTCCCATGCGGCATTCTTCTTCCGACCACGCCACCAACCCGCCAAAAAATCGTACGATTTTCGGCAGGTTTTCCAGCGTGCTTGGATGATGAAAGTGGTACGACCTTACAGTAGAAGCGTTGGCATGCTGCCCATACACCTGTCGATTATCGTATGATCACGGGATCACTCGTGATTATCATACGATAATCGGCAGGTGTATGGGCACCTTTAGTGTATGTGTATATTAGGCCCCATTCACACCTACAGTATATTTCAGGTGTGATTAGGGATTCCTGTGTCAGGAACTTGCGTTTTCCTGCAGCAGGAATCCCTAATCTGCCGTTTACAAGCGACAACTATCATAAGTTAAGAATTATCAGAAGATGATTTAAGAGGGTGTGTTTAGGGGCGGAGTTAAGGTCGAGGCAGGGTAAGGGTTAGGTGGGGCAACTGGTGGCTAGTAACTCAGGACTTGAAATTTTGAGCCCGGCCTTTATTATATACAATTTTATTTCTTATACCTTAATTCAGATATATATTTACTAAACATGAGCATAAAAATAAACTCCCCACATTCTCATGCAGACCAAGCTATATAGTAATAGGTGACTGTTGTAAGCACACCTGCTATGCTATGGTTTGTCCAAACCCCTGTCATTGTCATTTTGCTGGACAGATTGTTCTGCAGTTAAATGTGAAGAACACAGTATTTTTTGCAACCAGTACCCATAAAACAAATAATAAAATCAGTGACTGGCCGTACCACGAATACTGGACGACCCGTTTGGGGCTGTCTAGGTGGTGGGGATTCCATGGAAACAACGGTAAGCTTGCTTGACACCTGCTTACATGCAATTTAACTTCAGTGTAAGATGTCAGTTTTTGGCATCAACAATGTTATCCATGTCCAAATTATGCTATAATGTAGGCAAATGCACATTACTAATCAAAAGCTTTAAATAAACCTTTAACAAAAAGGCATGCAAATGCCTTTGCTTTATTCAGTTACACATAGTTAGAAAGCCCATGCAAACTCATTTGCCAAGCAAATGTGTGTGAATTTTATAATTACAATTATTTTGCTTATCTAACATTAGTGGATAAGTACCGAATATAGGAAAGGGCAAGGTTTACACCCCAGTAGTATAGACTAGAAAAAAGACAAACTTTCAGGTATGCAAATCCAAATGCTTACATGTGTGTCCCATTAGTGCAAAACCAATTGGCAAGTGCAATAATATTGTAAAATAGAATATCAGTGGCTCTTTTTTACCCTAGATAAGTAGGACAATGACGTCATTTATTCAGTAGTTTTTCACTGCAGAATCTTTCATAAATTAATATTTTTATTTAATTATGAAATGTCAGCTGGGGATCCAGATTTCTTTATGTCCTGTTTGAGCCTGACTTACATAGATTTTCTAGATCTACTGATTTACCAAAAAGGAAATGTGATTATTTGATTGTTTGGTTTCACGTTTATGAACAGCACAGACAGTTTCTTTCATCCAGTTTACATAAATTGGATATCAATTTAAGTGCAACTGCAGGCTAAAAATGTTTTAGTTTTTGGATAGAGCGCAGCAGGATTAGAACACCTGTCAGGTTTTTATTGCTGTTTGTTTCCACATTAGAGAGATTCACTCTCTATTTGTCCTGGTGACCATTATCATCAGAGCGAAAGAAAAAGAATCCCAAATTATGGAGTTGATACTAGAACAGGACTACAGGGCAAATCTTGCAATGGGGACACTAGTTACGGTGACCCTGGTGACAACCAGGGACAACCAGGGATTTCTCTCGCTTTGGATAGATTTTTTCTCACTTTTTGCTGTGGCTATGGGACAGGAAGTGAAGGGAAATTTCCTCAATGTGAGCCAAATGGCAAAAAAGACAGGTGTTATAACCCTCCATTACTCTATCCAAAATGGAAAAAAAGGTGTTGGCTTCTCCTTTAATTTGTTAATATGACCAATATTGAGCAAAACCCATATTATACCTACAAATAACCACTGTATTCAATTAATAGATTAAGCTATAGCATTCATAATGAACTTGCTTCTACGGATTAATCTAGAAGGGATGGAAGCAATGGAAACCCATGCTTCCAGACCTGTACACCCCAATATGTGCCCAAACCTTTGACACATTCCAGCAGCCTTGGTTGGGGTGTCCAGATTAGACTGGAAGTTTGGACAATTTGGTTCTTGCCTGCCTTATTTATTCAAGTGGAGAGGAGGAGGAACTGCTAGTTTACCAGAGTACCAGGGATGTAGCCCATACCAGGGTAAAGCAAACAGAACTTAAAGAGGAACCTCACCCTTATCTTAAAGTGACATTAAACCCTCAGATTTTTTAACATAAAATACTGTAATGTGTGGCTTACTGTAATCCATGGTTGTTTCCCTTCTCTTTGCTGCTCTTCCTTTTAAATCTGTATCTGTTCTCATGCTCTGCAGAACTTCTGTTTTGCAGCAGACTGCCATGTCTCAGGAATGGATACACGGTGTCTGTGTATTAGTTTCTATAGGCTTGTAACCTGAGCCAGCACTACAGGAAGAGGCTCTGAGCTGAAAAGGGATGTTCTCCCCAAGCATGAGAAGACATGAGGATTTAAAAAGGAAGAAGAGCAGCAAAGAGAAGGGAAACAACCATGGATTACAGTAAGGCACACATTACAGTATTGGTTTATGTTAAAAAATCTGAGGGTTTAATGTCACTTTAAAAATTACAAAGGCACCTTTAAAATGTTTAGTAATGACAATCTACAAATAGATACTTATAGATAATTGCAAGTTTTTAATTCTTTGTATACTTTATTTTTCTTTTCCTGTACATTCTTCTTGCAGTGGCCATTTTCACTAAAGGCAGATGAATCCATCTCCCTTTACTTCCTGGAACTCTGGCACATGTGCCTGGAATATTTGACCCTGCACATCTTAAAAGGAAAAAATGCCTTTCCCTGAAATCTCGCAAGATATTGTAGTTTACAGGTGAGATATACCAGCAATGCACAGCTGATGTAACCTTCCAAGGATGCATCTGTTGGGCAATAGATACTTCACTAGTGCCTTAGGAGTATAAGGAAGTGAAAATAAAGTATTTGTAAATAAAAGCAAC